AAAAAGGAAGAGAGTCTCCTTCACAAGAAATGGATGCCCGTGGGGCGCCTAGGTAACTCAGTGGGTTAAACCTCTGCCTTTGGCTCAGGTCATGATCTCAGAGTCCTGGGATCAGGCCCCTAATCAGACTCTCTGCTCAGCAGGGAGCCTGCTTCCCCCCCTCTCTCTCTCTGCCTGCCTCTCTGCCTACTTGTGATCTCTGTGATCTCTGTCTGTCAAATAAATAAATTAAAAAAAAAAAAAATCTCAAAAAAAAAAAAAAAAGAAAAAGAAAAAGAAATGCATGCCTTTGCAATGGTCCACAGCATAACACCTCAGGGTTAACAGACCCTCTGAAACTCATCCATGAACTCCCGACTTAATAACCCCAGTATTGCCATGCTATTTTTAAAAAAGAAAATGTATATGTTGTGGATATGAACTCTTTAAAAGACGGACCAATATTTTCTTAATTTATTTTGGTGATGCAGGAGAAGTAACGGTTTTAGAACAAACAAAGTCATTTACTATCCAAGAGCAACCACAGCATTATAATTTTCAGGAATCCACTTTTTAATTTACTCACCCTGCAGGATCATTTTGCTTCAGGGGTTAAATGTGAAACTATAAACAGTCATTAAAACACAAAACAACCATAGTAGTTAACCGGATATTAAGAAAAAAATCACATCTGGTTTACAGTTCTCTTCCACCCACAAATTCGGGAACATCAATTTCAAGAACCTGGTTTTATGGCATGCCCTTAAGCCAAAAACACCAGGTTACAATCAAGGCAAGGGAGGTAAGACATCCCATAAGCAGACTCCCACTATTACATCTTGCCCCCAGGATTCTCTTTCTTTAATTCAAAAGCAGTCAGTAGGATTGGATTATCTATTGCCTTGAAAGATAAATAGTCATTACAATTTGCACATTAATAATTATGCTATTCTGCGGGTTTATGAAAAGAGGAAGAAAGAAAATAAATTTCCATGCTGTTTAGCCAGTGGTACCCTAAGTAACAAAGAGTGAGGTTTGGTGGCTTTTCAGTACACAGAATTCGAGACTTGTACAGAATTTGATTTTCCTAATTTAAACGCTTTTTAAAACTTCACCTTGTCTGAGGGTGTACATCTTAAATAACCAATTTGTAATAATTTAACCAGCCAGAAAACAAGTGCAACTTCTCCAGCTTTTCACAAACATGCATCTCTGGGCATCAAAGAAAGTTCTTCCTGCTATAATAAGCCTAATGAAGTGCAAGTAAAAATAACAGTCATCAACTGTGGTTTTAAAGGCAATATTTCAACATAATCAAATGTGTCAAATATTCATCCTTACAGCTTTTTAAGCTGTGGGTTATAAGCAAGTTTCATTTCTTAGGAACGACTGAACATAACCCACTTGGGGCTTTGCCATCTGTGAATTACTTACATGTGAACACTCTGTTTAAGAGCTGGAAATTTTGATTGTTTTTCTTCCTTTGGATATTGGAATGCAATGTCATTGAACAGAGCTTTTTAAGCAATTATTGTTCATGTTACTTGTACCACGGCTGAATTATCACACACATCCCATATTCATCATCACTTATTAATTCATAGACATCAAATATGGTGAGTTTATAGAGCAAGTACCAAATGGGACTATGGAATCTGAGAGATGGGGAAGAATCTGCAGTCTCCAATTCTGCAGTCCCTGGGCTCGGGGACTGGCCACACAACCCTTCTCTGCAGTGTGCTCCCTTGTGAGAGTTGTGGTTGTGTTCCCATGGTTTCCTTGAAAGGCCGTTCCTCTTATCACTGAGCAAACAATGAAAGTGACTATGGGGCTATATGTAGGGTGCCACATAATTCATCATCCGTACATGGACACCTCTGGGAGTTGGTGGGGACACTATTAATAATTATGCCAGGACAACAGGCACAAACTAGGACTGCCCCAGGCAAATCTAATCATACTGTTACCACAGAGATGATGGGCGACTCAAAGACCTTCTCCCAAGGGTCTCAAACCATTTCATTAATGCTAGATCCAATTTTACTTCTGTCTAGAGCTCTTCTGTCCAATGGAAGTAGAATGTGAACCATAGATCTAATTTTAAACTTGCTAGTAGCCATGCTTTAAAAAGAAACAGGTGAAAATAATTTTTTTTTAAAGATTTTATTTATTTGACAGACAGAGATCACAAGTAGGCAGAGAGGCAGACAGAGAGAGAGGGGGGAAGCAGGCTCCCTGTTTCGCAGAGAGCCCGATGCGGTGCTCGATCCCAGGACCCTGGGATCATGACCTGAGCCAAAGGCAGAGGCTTTAACCCACTGAGCCACCCAGGCGCCCCAATTTTTGATAGTATATTTTACTCTACCTAATATACCATCGTGTCATTTCAATGCGTAGTCAATATAAAAATTATTAATGTGGTCTTCCATATTACTCTTTTTTTATATCTCAATCTTTAAAATGCATTATGAAAAAAAAATAAAATGCATTATGTGTGTTACACTCGAATCACATTTTTAGTGCTCAATAACCACACGTGGCCAGTGGATATAGTATTGGACAAGCAGGTCCTATGACAGGTCCTTGAGTTAGGATACATAGGAATAAATGAACAGAAGCATAATACATACACACACACACACACACACACACACACACACACACACATTTTTCTTCTGGGTAAAAACAGACTCAACTGAACGTCTTCCTTTACTAACTTAGCCTGCTTTTCACAGTATGGCAGTTAAATGATTTGCCTCTTTTGCTTGAGATGAACCAGACTTTGGAGCAGATAAATCTTTACCTGGTAGATCTTTTGGGTAACAGAGAGAATGGCCAAATTAGAACAGGTGGGTAAACTTCTGAGAACTTAAAACTCTCCGTAGACTAATATGGGCCTATATTCCTGAGTCCAACACATATATAGCATGTACCCTCCGTGTGCTTGGCATTAGAGATAGACAAATAAGGCACAATGTCTGCACCTTGGGCTGTTAAGGCTTCAAGTTTGCTTGGACATTATTTTACAACCAAAGGAAGAGAAGTCTAGGATGTGCCAGTATTCTGTGGCAAGCAAGGACCAGACTCTGTTCTTTGGGCCTCAGATCTGCATTTCATCAGCCACAGAGAACATTGAGGAAAGGAAGAAATGTGATTTCCTTTTTACTGTTGATACATACAGACTCAGCCACTGCTTGGGAACTTGCATACGGTTAGGTAAAAGGATTTGGGGTGCCAGCCTTTCTTCTTGAATTAGGATTTGCATCTTTGCTAGTAGTAATATACTCCCTCACCAAATACCTCAACTTAGAACTCAATGGTATCCTAGTTTGGTAAGAATATGGAATCTATCAGAAACATACCAGTCCTCGTTTCCTGTAAGGAAAGCAGTATTGAATATTTTCGATTGGTCTAAACACAGAACGTAAGTGATAAAAACATTGAACTAAATACGGGTGATTCTCTGCATGTAAATGATGGTAACACAATCAGATATACTCTGACTTGGGGTATACCTACATTGAAAAAATGAGCAGTAAACTACAACTTTTCTCATTTATACAGCTTCTCTTCCTCCAATCCAGTATACTTGGGTTTAACACAGTCTCAATCAGTGTGCTAAATACTGGTTCTGTTTAAACTCACCAATAGAGTGGAACACATACACCTGATTTTTATTAAAGTAATGTTCCATTAAATATGTTTCCTTAAAAGGACAGTGGGAAAACTTTACATCTAAAACACTTTGAGAGGGCGCCTGCGTGGCTCAGTGGGTTAAAGCCTCTGCTTTCGGCTCAGGTCATGATCCCAGGGTCCCGGGATCGAGCCCTACATCGGGTTCTCTGCTCAGCAGGGAGCCTCCTATCCCTCTCTCTCTCTCTGCCTACTTGTGATCTCTGTCTGTCAAATAAATAAATAAAATCTTTAAAAAAAAAAAATAAAACACTTTGAGGACACTTGCTTCCTTGTTTACAGAAAGAAATATGCCAAAACACTGCCACAATCTTATGAGTAAATACTCAGTGTTTTGCTATAGGGACTCCGAACTCACACACTGGCACATGTTCTTGAGAACATTTTATGCCAAACTGGTGAGAATCTGGTTAGTTCATTCAGCATCCTTATGTAAGTCTAAAATATTGCTTTTCTCCTTAGGGCACTATAGACAGTGAGACTTAAAATGGGAAAGAGACTGGTTTTTAGGAAACTTTTTAAAATGGCTCCATTACTGAAGATCACCTATTGCACAAATATATACCCATTAACCAAAATCTCTCAGGCAACTTCCAAGGTTGGACCACAGTCACAACTCTTCCAAGTACTCGGGATTTATCAGAAAGATCCTACAGTACCACATTATATGAAAGGCGGACACCAGCTCTTCAGGATTCATTCTCCATTTAACCCATCAGTTAGAAGTGAGTCTTGTTACAAGCACTTCTGATATATAATTTTATTTTTCTTTAATTTGGCTGTTGAGTTCTAGAAACCCAGTACTGGCACCACAACATACATGATATTGGTATCTTGAAACTCTATGACCACTCTCCATGGTGGGACTTCAAAAAGCCCTGCATTAACACAATGAAAATACATAAAATGATATCCTTGGGCGTTCAAAGCAGGAGGATGGAGGAAATTCAACAGTGCGGCGCACTGGCGAACAGCATGAACTTTGCAGCCAAATCAACTGGGTTCAATTCTTTACTGTCCTTTACTAGTTGTGACCTTAGAAAAATTACTAAACCTCCCTCTGCCTCAATGGCATTATCAGTAAAATGGAGGCCAAAATTGGTACCCACCTTGATGTGGAAGTTTAAATGATGCAGTGTAAAGCACTAATCAGTGCTGTATAAATTACTAGAATATCCCAGAGATAGCTCATAGGAGCTATTACTAACACTGTATGTCCTGCCAAATGCTCTCCAATGATCAGCTCACTTAAGACTGCAAAGTCCCAGTTAGTCTATGGGTAAGGCACTTTGATCTTTCATTAGAAAGGCAAACGGTAGGATACCTACTAGAATAACAGGTTTCAGACTCTGGCCACTGGGGTGTGAAGCCCTGGGCTGGGCATCAGCAGGTGGGCCTGGAGCTGGGTCACTGCTTCTCCTCACCAGCAGTGGAGTGCCTGTAGGACAAAGTAAGAGGTGAGAGGTCAGCAGAACCCTGGGGAGGAGAGAGTGCAGGGTACAATGCAATTTAATTAAAAAGGTTTACAACATGCTTTTATGTAAAAACATTCTCTTTCTAAGGATGCTTGTAAATTAATCCATTTAATGATCTTTTGTCATCTATTTACAGACTGACACATGGAAACAAAATCTTGCAATTCTCCTCTTTCCCCACTTGCATTTCAAAACAAGTCTTTATACTTAACCAAAACCTTTAGGCAATGCAGAGGTTGGCAGTGTGCAACTGAAACAGATCTAGAGAATGTATCTGAGTATTAAAAAGAAGGATTATCCCGCAGACGAGTGAAGAGGTTCACATAGTCAGTGCAATTTGCTTTTCAGTAGAGCTAGAAGTACAGTTACTGCTGCCATTTGGTGCTTCCCAAATCTTTTGAATGACGATATACATTGAAATATATTATTTGCTGGGGTTAGAGCATTAATGTCTATTTAAGTATAGAAAGAGATTGGTTCCATTCTCTTCCTTTTCTCCTGAAGTCGATAAAACTGGTAAGGAAAATAAGTTAGTTCTTCTAAAATAATATCTTGATTTCTTTTTAATTTAATGAAAAAGCTTCCACTATTAAATATTTGAGCTAGTTATTAAATTCTGAGAAAAGATCATACTATTAGAAAGTTCAAGTGAAATTCAACCTTAACAGAGCTAGCGGCCTAACTAGTCTGCCTGCAATTAGGCCTAAAATAATTTGTTTCATACAAAATTGGCCATTGTAGAGGAAACTCTCAAAAAAGTCCTTTTGTGGTCTAAAAATTGCTCTCTTATAAAAATTAACTTTTTATTCACAAACTTTGGGGGGGAAAATGGAAAGCAGGAGAAATGCAATTCTCCATTTATCAATATTCTGCAAAATCTTCTCCAACTCTCTTGAGCTATTGCTGCTTAAAAGAACATTTTTTCATATTTCATTTTATATGGTACAGTTAAAAAAGTGAATCCATTTTGAAGTTATTTACAAATCTGATCTCCAACATTTTTATTCTTTGTACAAAATATAGATGCTAATACCTTCCAACTTTGTTCAGACTCTTTTTATCCTTGTTGTTTTTTAAAAAATAACTTCTTTTATAATAGGAAATTAAGATCTACGGAGGATGAAATACTAACCAAAAGGTGTTATAAAGCCCAAGTTTACAGCCTATTATTTCTTTTTTATTAATAAACATTTCACTATGTTATTCCCTAATTCCTCCATTTCCATGTAAAAATTTCTTAAGCAAGTGACATAGCAACAGTTGTATGGTTGCCAACTCTCTTGAATGAGACATTAAATGAAAATAAGTAGGAGTGAAAATATCATAAATATCTCAAGGCAATAGGGTCTCAGTCCTGTACCAATATTTCCCCTGATTCAGGTGATCTGAATTACCGTTAATATAAAGTGAACAAATCTGTCTAAAGGTGATATCCTCAGAAGCAATCTATTATCCTAAAAATTAAGAGGAGATTGGAGAAAACTCTATGAAACTCCAGTTAGTTTCTGAACATTTAAGCCAGAGCAGGCCATTGCATGCCAGTGATCTAAAAACAAATGAAAAGCAAGTAAAACCAGCATGGAACACCAAGGTCCAAAAATAGGTTGATTTAGAGGCACAGAAATGGAAATCTTAGTGATTGACAACTGTACTGTTTTTTCAGCCAAGTCATACACACATATATGAATATATACAGAATATACGTGTGTGTGTCTGTGTGTGTGTGTGTGTGTGAGAGAGAGAGAGAGAGAGAGAGACAGTCTTGTTACTTTTCCTGGATAATAAATATATTCTTCTTAAAGCCACCCTAGATAATTTTCTTGCAACTCTAAGGACATGGTTATGACTCTTTACTTATCATCAATATCTGCTGTTTTAATAATAAAATGTTTAAATATTTAAGACATAATTCTATGACAATATGAATTTGAGTTTGTGCATTCAATCAATAGGCCATAATATTACAGGGTGTTTCCTGGGACAACACAGTTCAGTTGTGTACCAGTGTACCCACTATTTGGATCATTAACAAAAAAACAAAGGAAGGTGACTAGACCTTAAACATACTCCCAACTCATCTGGAATAAGTTTTGTTCTTCTCTACTTTTTTGGGATTCCACACTTGAATGTCTCCTGTTGAGTCACCTTCTAATTTTCCTTTGGCTGTCTTAATGTGTTAATAATAAGCATAAATCATTTCACACTGGAATTAATAATAAGCATATTTAAATATGAGCTGCTATCTCAGAGAGTTTTAAACAACCATTCCTTTGGCAATTTAAAATTTATTTGATACTTGTATTTTTTTTTTTTTTTAAATTGCCAAGCCTCATTTGAAGGTGCCTGCCAAGAAGAGACTGAGTTACAACTTAAAGGACAGACAGATGCATCCTAATATAGAACAGAAGACAAGTAATTCCAAGTACTGGAGACAATTTGGGGGAAATCCTTACATATATGTAATAGAGTAGAAGGCCCACCTTGCAAGCACCGCTAACTGAAACAAAAGGAAGACAACCACATCCAGTTTTAGAAAATTTTCTGTGGGAGGGAAAAAGTAAATAACACATGACCTCTGCAGTGAAGGAGCTTATAACCTAACAGTGAGATTAGACTTGACTCTAAGAACTATCATGTGTCCATACAGTAAAGAGGACCGTGGATTTTGGAGTCATGAAAACCGAGATTCACCTCTCCTGTCTCTGTGACGCTGGGTGGCTTGGTGACACATTCTCATCATTTAAAACCTGGTGATAAAAAAAAAAAAATCATCATGTTGATAGAAGGCTGAAATAAAAGAAGGCAGGCATGGGACATGGAACTGTGTAGTCTGCAGTTTTCATGCAGGAAATCCTGCACCCCCCAATAAAATGAACTTAATAGCCCTTGGCTCTTGTTGTGAACAGTGTCACCAGCTCAAAAGCTGAACACCTAATTTTCCTGAAATAATATGTAAATTAGGGCACTTGGGTGACTCAGTCCATAAGCATCTGCCTTTGGCTCATGTCATGATCCCAGGGTCCTGGGATGGAGTCCCATGATCAAGTCCCATGTTGGGCTTCCTGCTCAGTGGGGAGTTGTCTTCTCCTTCTCCCTCTGCTCCTCCCACCTACCTGTGCTCTCTTTCACTCTCTCTCTCTTTCTAATAAGTAAATAAAATTTATAAAAAGAAATAATATGTAAGTTAAACTAGTAAAGCATAATCCTGTGCTGAACCAGGTATAGACTTACTATAGAAATCAAAGCTTTTAAGAAAAAAGAATGATGGTATGGGAAGGGAACTGAAAATGGAAAAAAATAACCCATTATTCATTGGTATTTTTTAGTTAATTAAGAAAGGACTCTTATTAGATTTTAGAGGCAAAAGTCCTCAGTTCAGCTCAAGAGAACAGGAGTATTCCTTGGAATTAGAGTTTAAAAGCTACTGGCAGCAAAGCTCAAATAAAATAAGAAATGTTATGTACCTTACAGCATAAAATCTTACACAACTGCATTATGTTTTTCCACATGGTTAACTATTTGAGGCCTCACTGTGTATCAGGAGCTATACAAGGGGCGACTGATATTAAGATGAATCGTCATGGTGCTTGCTTAGGCTTTCTTTTAAAAGAGGATGCGAGGACGAGGAACAATTTGCACACAGGTAGACATCAGCGCACTGTGCCAGTGGGGTTAGCTATGGATTATTGAACCCACACCAACGAACACGCACACCGTAGACTGGATGAGTCCCATTTTATTTAAGCAGATGCACAGAAACTTAATGGAAGCCACAGAACACCAAAGAGAAGCAGCATCCCTCCCAGCAGAAGAGCTGCTGATCAAGTGTGTAGCTGCTGGTGACTCTGTCCTTGACGACAGGGGCTTGCCAACAGGAAAGTCTGAATTCTTTCTGGAGCCCTGTTCATGAATGCCCAGGGCTTATGTGACACTCGGGACAGAATCACTCACTGCACTTCCCTTTACAGAGACGCCTAAACTCATCAGGTTCTCCAGGCCTTGTGCCAACCAGCACAAGAGTCAGTTCCTGGATGTCTATAGATGATGCCGCATCTCCCACTGCTCAAGCATCACCATTCGAATGAAGGCAAAACAAGAACTGAAGGGGGTACACAGCTGCTTGTCCAATGTCCTTATAAATGTAAATAAGGGGAACCAGAGGAGGACCACCTGCTTCATTTTGGGGAAAAGAGTTCTCAAAGAGGCGGCGGCTACTTAAAAGGATCAAATGGGTACATTAATGACCACGTAAGATATAAAGGCCAATTCAAGTTACCTGTGTCAGTTTCCACCTCTTTATTATAATTTCTCTCTCTCTCTCTCTCACTCACACACACACACACACACACATATCCCTGGATGGAGTTTTTCCTACATTTGGAAGATGTGTTTGGGCTGGAATTAGCTTAAATGACAGATGATGTGTTGTACATAAAATTCTGTTTGGGAGATTTTGAAAGACATCTTTTTAAAAAAAAAATTATTTTTATTTATTTGCGGAGAGCGAGAGAGAGAGAGAGTGCACACCAGAAAGCACAAGTGGGAGGGGAATGGCAGAGGCAGAGGGAGAAGCAGGCTCCCCACTGAGCAAGGAGCCCAATGCAGGGCTCGATCCCAGGACCCTGGGATCATGACCTGAGCTGAAGACAGACGTTTAACAGACTGAGCTACCAGGTACCCCAAGACTTAGACATTTTAGAAAGATAGGCAGTTATAGAGATGAAAACCAAAGCTCAGAAAAATCACCCACATGATACCTCAGTGGGCAGAGGAAAAAAAAACATAAATCCCATACCAAACATCACAAAGGTATAGGTTCTAAATTGTCTGGTAAGAGTAGAGATTTACCTAAAAATGGTTAATGATTCTCCTGAGCAAAACCAAAAGGCTAGCTTGTCATCAATACTGGTCCTATTCATTCTAGAGTGACTGATACCTGAAGAGCTTAAGGGCATCCCAGCTC